AAGTGCAGAGTGTAGTATCAGTACAACCGACCCCATGTACTAGTAAGTATCGAGCCTAACCTCGGCGAAGTAGTGATGAGGTTAGGACACGAACCAACATAAACCTATGCAGTTAGACAATATACTACAAAATAATAATAATAATAATAATAATAATAATAATAGAAGCTAAACAGAAATTAACAGGAAGGGGCAACATGCTATGGGGGTACCAAAATAAGGAATCATTGTAGTAACAGAAATTAAACAATTAATACACTTGAACCGATAACAGCAAATAACCACAGCAAATAGAAAATGCACAGTATCACCCTTCGTGCTTTTACTCTTAATCCTCATCATGCAATCAATAATAGAAATGTGAATAGCATCACCCTTCGTGCTTTATCACTCTTCCTCACCATATGAATAATAGAAATGTGCACGGTATCACCCTTCGTGCTTTATCTCTCTTCCTCACCATATGAATAATAGAAATGTGCACGGTATCACCCTTCGTGCTTTATCTCTCTTCCTCACCATATGCATCAAAATAAATATAAATGTGCATTGCATCACCCTTCGTGCTTTATCTCTCTTCCTCACCATATGCATCAAAATAAATGTAAATGTGCATGGATCACTCTTCCTCACCATATGCATAAGTATGAATGTGCACGGCATCACCCTTCGTACTTTATCACTCTTCCTCACCCAAACAATAGAAATAATAACATCCCGGTAAGGGAATCAACAATAGAAATAATAACATCCCGGCAAGGGAATCAACAATAGAAACAATAACATCCTAGCAAGGGAATCAGCTATAACCAATCTCGTTTCAACAGTTAGCTTTACAAAATAAGTCCCAACTTGAGTCAATACTCAATAATGGTCAATTACCAAGAAAATATCATAAGTCTTGTTTAACATGAATAAACATCAATTGAAGCATGAATAGTACATAATAAGAGTCACAACAGTCACAATATAAGACTCACTTGCATGCTCGACACCAATGTATAGATACTCGTCACCACACTTATACGTCGTACTCAACACTAACACGTAGCAAATAAGACAACAATACCTATTCCCTCAAGATAAGGTTAGACCAAACACTTATCTCGATTACACGACCAAAAATCAAGCCTCAATCACCGCTTTTCCTTTGATTTCCACCAAAATCTAGTCATAATTTACTTATTAACATTAATTGAAGCAAAAAAACTAATTCCAATGAAAATTTGTAGATTTTCCAACATTCTTCCAAAAAGGTCAAAACCCGACCCCAGGCATGCTTGGTCAACTCAAAGTTCGGAACAAACCTCAATTACCCATTCATCCCCGAGCCCGGATATGTAATTAGTTACGGAATCCGACCCGAAATCGAGGTTTAAATTCCCAAATTTGCAAAATCTCTAATTTTCTACCCTTAAAGAACAAGATATAGGCCTACAAAACTAATGGGTGTTGATGGAAAATGAAAGAGATGAGTTTAAGAACATGCTATGATTTGGTGTTGAATCCCCACTTCAAAAATCGCCCAAGGTCGGATTCTATGGAAGAAGATATGAAATTTTGGTCTAATCCCGACCGAGGTTCCGTTTTAAAATCACTGGACAGGCCTTCTTAGTGTTCGCAAAGTAGCGGTCCTATTAACCTTCGCGTTCGCGGGACACACTACGCGTTCGTGAAGGTATTTCCCCCTGACCTTTACGTTCGCGTAGTGTATCAATCCCCTCCCCCAGGTCCCTGCCAAAATGGCCTTCGCGTTCGTGTTCGCGACCTGTGCCTCGCGTTCACATAGAAGAAATTTTCCCTCAAACAGCTTTACTCTTCGCGTTCGCGAGAGTTCCTTTGCGAATGCGAAGAAGGATACATCTGTGCACCTGCAACAGCAAAACAGCAGAATCTCTAAGTCCAAAACACCTCGTGGCCTATCCAAACTCACTCGAGCCCTCGGGGTTCTAAACCAAACATGCATACAAGTCTAAAAATATCATACGGACTTGCTCGCGCGATCAGATCGCCAAAATAGCATCGAGAACTATGAATTTAGCATCAAAATCAATGAAAATTTAAGAACTCTTAAAGTTTCTATTTCCACAACCGAGGGTCCGAATCACGTCATATAAACTCTGTTTCTTACCGAATTTCACAAATGAAACTTACATACCGTATCAAATTTGTACCAGACTCTGGAACCAAAATACGGGCTCGATACTATCAAGATCAAGCATTGTTAAATTTCTAAAAACCACCATATTTCCAATTAAATAATTTTCTTCAAAAATTCGTTTCTCGGGATAGGGAACTCGGCATTCAATTTCTGGCACACGCTCAAGTCCCATATTTTTCTACGAATCCTCCGGGACCGTCAAATCACGGGTCCGGGTCCGTTTACCCAAAATATTTACCGAAGTCATCTTAATTCAATTTTAAAAGCAAAATTTAGCATTTTTCTTAAATTTTCACATAAAGGCTTTTTTAGAAACGCTTCCGGACTACGCACACAAATCGAGGAGAAGGAAAATGAGGTTTACAAGACCTCGGAACCCGAATTCGGATTCTAAAACAGAAGATGACCCTTTGGGTCATCACAATGTTAGTCTTAGTTCATCTCACGGCCATCGAAATTCAGTTGAGTCCTTTTGAACGGCCAGCTTTCCTGGTTTCTCTCCGACCATTTCAATTCCAGCAGATATATAGTTATATTTCCCTTCTGTATAAATTACAATCTCGTCAGATTTTCAAGCTTTGGCCATGTTTCTATAGTTTTTCGAATCTGGTTTGGTTAATCGATTAGTTAGGCAAATTTGCCTGCCATCTTTGGAATTAATTATTGTTTGTTGCATGCTCTAAAAAAATTAGTCTCTTTTGCTTATTGAATATATTCTAGTCTTGATTAGCCATTAATCTAGTTTAGAGTTTATCACTTATTTCTTTATTAAAATGTTTAACTAAGTATTAAAGTTAATGTAGAATGACAGAATTAAAAGAGGAGATAAAAGAAGTTGAAGGATTGTAGAGTAAAAAAGAAGAAGATTCAAAGTTGTTTCTAAGTCCTACTTTGTTGCTGCATATCTCTTGGATTTTCATAGTTGTTTTGAGTTGAAGAATTCACTGTTGCTGTGGTTGAGCTATAGCTTTGAGGTTTAGATTTCTCTTTGTTTCTCTGTTTCTGTTTCTCTTCTAATAGGTACGTTCATCCGCCTTTGCTATTTTCTACTTAGATCATAAATGAAATCCTAACTTGTCTATGCGACGATCATGCCTGATTCAATAGATCCAATGTGTTTAGTTGATGAAGTTTGTTTAAATTTTCATCTCTTTAACATGTGGTGTTACTTGTATGTTTGAACTAAGCCATTTCAGTTGTTATCACTCTCATGAATAGTTCGCTACTAGAATTTCTATTGAGTTTATATATGATTCATGTGTAAGATGATTTTAATGGTGATGAACTCGGGAATCTGGTCACCTGCTGTTTAGATTCACTTTTGAAGAAGTTAGCTCAATGGATTCTGATTATAAAGTGCAGTGGTTCCATAGTTGCTCCCTCAATGAAAGTAGTAACTATAGATTGATTAATTCTGGATTGTAAAATAATGCCTGTAATTGATTGGTTGGTTTAATGATGTAATTATTTCAATTTGATAGGCTATGAACCTCTCACGTTATTCAGATTAATTGCAAATCAATGCTGGACTTGAATGGTTGCAGATTTTGTCCTATAATTCATGTTAGCAGTTTTCTGCTAATTTTTGGAGTTTGAATTCACTCTATTGGGCCTAAAAGATAGAATTGGTCATTATGTGGCCCGGTTAATTAATGACAGATTCTGGGCTTCACCAAGGAGAGCCCATTGAAGACCTCGGCATTTGAGATCTAATTAGCCCCGGTCACAATTCGAATCATTTTATATGGGGAATACATTTGTCTTCACCTCTGTTCTTGATTAAAATAACCAAATTAGAATAAGTAGGACAACTATTTATATATAATTACGTCCATCTTTCCCCACTAGTTAAATCCATAGGCTTGTGTTTAAACTGTTTGTAATTATAACTTGATTCTGAATATGTAGAATAATTCTTTTATTCACGTGTGCTCATTCTTGGATTTCAGTGATTAAAATCATGTGTGCATGATTCACAATATGTGAATACAACCTATGACCTTGCACCAAAATCTCAAACCCGTAAAAAATTGAATTTAATAAGGCTAATCCACTTTTCTGTAACTAATCTACTTATTTCTTCCACAATTAAATTCCATAAGCTTTTGGCCCCACAACAATCTCAAACTAGTTTAGAGAAAAATGATTCTTATAAACACTCGTAGTGTGCTTTAGGCACGGCTTAATTAGATGAATCATCGTGATTATGGGTACAGTTCCCGTGGCATAGTCATGATACGTAAACTCCAACTCAAGTGTGTGTTCACGCGACTTGATCACAACTTCAAATAATAAAAGTAAATATATTTTGAATCATGAGTACGTTTCACGTGGCATGATTAGCAATGTGTGTGTGAAAACAGACAAGTGCGTGATATCGTGACTTGTTTCAATAAATTTCATAATTATTTAAAATAATAAAATAAAGTGCACAATACATTTTAAAAATGTAGTAAATCAGATAATTAGGCCAAGCACTTCCTAAGAGATTGAGTAAGAAAAATAATCTTTAAACAGATTTATGCAAAAGTAAATAAAGTAATAGAAGTAAGAGATGGAAGATAATTTCATGCAAACATAGACTATGAAAGATAAGTGCGTTCATTTGGGTATTTAACCTTGTAACTAGGACGTCGCAATAAAACTTGTGCCCTAAAGTCATATTTTAATAATGAGACTTTTTTTTCTTTCATTTTGTCTATAGACCAATTTACATCTAGAGTTTGTTATGCAAAAGTTTGAGGTTCACTGAAGAATACATTATACACAAAACTTACTTTTGTCAAAATCCAAACACGAGCTAAAAAAGGGAAGACCATGACTCTAGCATAGTTACTGCTCAAGCATCATCATCAAGTGCAAGCACCCTATGAAGCGGTATCCCCTTGTGAAGCTCTTTACTGGCAAACCCTCCCATTGAAATGTGGCTCATCTTGTCCGCAAGCCCCACTTTTTCAACAGCTGTAATAGACTCGACACCTGTTATGATTGTTGTTACTTGTCACGATCCGAATTGCCCACCTTCGGAGCGGTGATGGCACCTAACATTAAACTCGTTAGGCAAGTCAACGTCACAGTTTATTACACATTTTTCCTTTATCTTTCGGATATTTAAGACTTAACGAAATGAACCAACAGAAATAAATACAGAAGAAACAATTTAAAAGCTTAACTTGAACATTAACGAAATCCGTAATAACATCTACCTAGAACTGGAGTCACAACTCATGAACCGTCTATGATTACTGCAAGTAATGGTCTGGAAGAAAATATACATCTGTTTCGGAGGAAAAGTAAAAACATAATACAGTAAAGGTAGAAGGGGATTCCAGGGCCTACGGATGCCTGCAGGACTACCTTGGGTCTCCTGAACTAAAGGCAGCACCCTCAAACTCTGATCAGCCACTAGCTCCGAAATCTACACAGAAAGTGCAGAGTGCAGTATCAGTACAACCGACCCCATGTACTGGTAAGTACCGAGCCTAACCTCGACGAAGTAGTGATGAGGCTACGGCGGGGCATACAACATATACAACCTGCGATAGTTTATACTAAAAGGAAAAGAGATACAGAATGTAAATAAACAATAACTGATATTAAATAAATCCGGAATCCAACTGTTCTACTAGTATTCAGCTATAACGAATCCTTAAGGGTGTTTCAACATCATGATAATGGATCTCAACAAATATGAACACATAACAACAACTGATGCGGCATGCATCCCGATCCCATCATATAAATAGCAACAACAGTATCAATAATTTCATTTATTTCTCCTTGTTGCGGTGTGCAACCCGATCCCACCCGTCCACCCTTATTACTCTTCAACACATATCACCCGTATTTCTCAGGTTTCGGCGCGCAACCCGATTCTACCTATCCACTCTTATTACTCCTTGTTGCGGCGTGCAAACCGATCCCATCATATAATACTGTTGCGGCGTGCACCCCGATCCCAATTTACAGATCAACACAAATCACAAAAATGAAGACAAGTGTTTCACGGACTAAGCCAAATCCTCCAACGTTCTTATACCTCAATCACACAACGAAATATCACTACAACTAAACAACTTCACCAGTGTAACCTATCCAGCGAGACCAACCAAGGTGTACCACGAGGCACCTGTAAACCAATAAAGTCCAACAGAATAATAAAACGTAACCAGAAAACAATTGAATACTTCAATAAGGAGAGCAACGATCAATATAAAGCAATTAGGTAGGGAAGCATTTATGAACAAGTAGTAGTTAAGGCATGGAAGCAGTTATGGACAAGTAGAAATTAAGGCACGGAAGCATTTATAATGGAGCAGCAATTTAGGCAGGGAAACAACTATAAACAGGTAGCAATTTAAGACGGGGAAACAGTATAATAGGAAACGGGGAAGGGAAACAGCTAAACATGGTAATTTTGGTGGAACATAGGTACTCGTCACCACACCTATACGCCACACACATGGAATTTCACGTAGCAAATAAGTCGGGAATTCCTATTCTCTCAAGTCAATGTTAGACCAAACACTTACCTCAAGCCAACGAGTAATTCAATACTCAATCACTGCTTTACCCCTCGATTCCACCACCAATCCGCTTGTATCTAGCCGCAATTTACTTAATAACATCAATACGTGCTAAATAAACCAATTCTAATGCATGAGAATAGATTTCCCATTATTTTTCCCAAGTCAAAAATCGACCCCAGGCCCACTTGGGCAAAACTCAAAGTTCGAACCAAAACCCGACTACCCATTCACCCACGAACCTAAATATGCAATTAGTTTTGAAATCCGACCTCAAATTGAGGTCCAAATCCCCAAAATTTGAAAATACTAATTTCTACCCAATAGCACCCAATTTCCCATGAAAACCCTAGATTTTAAGATGAATCGTGTGAAAAGATGAAGTAGATTGAAAGAAATGAGTTAGAAGTTGTTTACCTACAATTTGGGGAAGAATTTTTCACTGAAAAATCGCCTAAGGGAGCTTAGGGTTTGAAAAATTAGAAGAATGAGTTGAAATCCCGTTAAAATCCTACTTAACAGGTCGCAGATATCGCATTGCGACAGGAGCTTCGCAAATGCGAAGGAACATCATAAATGCGAGAACCATCGCACCACTGTTGCCTTCGCAATTGTGAAGGGATATTCGCAATTGCAAACACCAACCTGCGAAATTGCGGCAAAAAGATCGCAAATGCGATCAGTCCCTTCCCCAGCTTGTACTTCGCAATTGCGAAGAAGAGTTCACAAATGCGAACGAGGCAGGCCTAGGCTTTCTTCGCAAATGCGATCAAGCCCTCGCAATTGCCAAGCCTATTGGGCTCGCAATTGCGAAGCCTGACCTTGAAATTGCGAGATCAGAGCCTACAATACATACCAGCTGCAACAGAAACTTTATCTAAGTCCAAACTCACCCCGTGGCCTATCCAAAACTCACTAGAGCCCTCGGGGCTCCAAACCAAATATGCACGCAGGTCTAAAAATATCATACGGACTTGCTTGTGCGATTAAATCATCAAAATAACATCAACAACTACGAATTAACCTCAAATTCATGAAATCCTTTAAGAACATTAAAATTTCCATTTTCTCGACTAAGGATCCGATTTATATCAAATCAACTCTGATTCTTACCAAATTTCATGGGTTCGACTTAATTATTATTTTAAGCCTGTACCGGGCTCCGGAACTAAGATACATGCCCGATACCATCAAACATATACACCATTTCATTTCCAAAAGTCTTTATATTTTTCAGCAAATAATTTTCTTTAAAAGTTTCTTTTCTCGGACTAGGGACCTCGGAATTCGATTCCGGGCATACGCCCAAGTCCCATATTTTACTACGGACCCTATGGGACCGTCAAATCACGGGTCCGGGTCCGTTTACCAAAAATATTGACCGAAGTCAACTTTAACCAATTTTAAAGGCCAAATTCATTATTTTTCTTAAATTTCACATAAAATCTTTCCGGAAACGCACTTGGACTGCACATGCAAATTGAGATAAAATAAAAGGAGGTTTTTAAGGCCTCGGAACACAAATTTGACTTCTAAAATAAGAGATGACCTTTTGGGTCATCACATTACTCCATTTCTACCAAGTTGTGCCCATTTTTTTGCAGTAGCCTCCATTCTAGTAGCAAATTTGTCATACTCAAACACTCTCATAGGTCCATACTAAATGATAGTTTTGGTGGTATCTGGAGTTGTTGCTGAAAGACGCGATAGCAACTGGTCCAATTATCTAAAGCCATCCAATTATGTTGAATTTTAGATACTGGAACAACCTTGCGATTAGCACCAGCTGAATACTTATTTGCTATCACAACATCAACAGCAAGAAATAGAGATACACCATTTTCCTTTGCCTTTTCAATAAGTGATTTTGCTGGATCAAGCATTACATCCTCCACAAGTGACGATATAACATAGTAGCCTTGGGCTTTATGGAAAGTAAATATCAGACCTCCACCGAGGAGTAACAAGTTAACCTTAGTTATCTAGCAAAACATAATATTAATATTTACATTGATTTCTTTTTTTCTTTCTTTATGACTGTATTATAGCTATCTTACAAAAGATAATGCAGAGTACTAATATTTATATTGGTAAGAAATTCAAGTTAATTAGATGTCAGTCGCGCATTTACAATGTATTATCTTGGATTTTATTGTAAAAAATATTATTAAGCAAAATGAAGATTTGAGTAGCTTAATTCAAAATTTTAAAAATTTTGTATTGTTAAAAATTAGATAGTCTTTCTTTCTACTTCTATAAGGAGTTTTACTTTTTTCTTTTTTCTATAAATTTCAATATTATCTAAACGAAAATAAGATAGAGAATTCACAATTAAATATTTTTTGGGCCTCAAAATTTAAGAGGCCTAAAGCAATGACTTTATTAGTCTCCCCTTAAGCCACCTGCCCTATAATTGCATTAGTAAATAAAAATTAACTTAATTATTCCTAATCTACTTTGACAGAATAACCCTAGATACAAACTGATATAAACCAACACCTAACATCTAAGCTAGGGGTGTACAAATCAAACCGGAAAATCGTACCAAATCGAAAAGTCAAATCAGACGGATTAAAACCCCTAATGAGGTTTGGTTTGATTTGATTTGGTTTGGTATTGAGTAAAAAAAGCCGAATCAAACCGACATATAAATATATAACTTTTATATATACTTTTAAGACTTTATATAGATTTTTTTTTTAAAATTGTCTAGAAATATTTTGGATTCTCTTATGTGATTTAATATTTATAGAATATGAAGTGCTCCATTTTTATTAACTTTAAATAATGTGTTGTATGATCACTTTCTTATCAAGTGTTATTCAAATGGATCAACCTCTTTATTCTTCCATATTCATATGTCAAGATCTATTAGATTCTTATATCTTTTTTCGAATTTGAAGTGGTATTTCGATAAATGAAAATTAAATAGAACATATTATTATTTAAGTACCATATTGATTTTTATGTTTAATTATTAAATTCATTTAAACTTGAAAGCATATATCAATAAAAAATTATTGTCGGCAACTAAAAAAATAATTATCATGTATTACTAAGAAAATTATCACATAAAAATATTTTAATAGATAATATGTTTGCCAATTTTTTCAAATTAAACATATATTTACTTATCAAATAACAAAGTAAGATTAATATATTATTCATGTAACAAAAAAAACCCAGAAAGCCCGATAAAACCGAGCCAATCCAAACCGATATAGTTGGTTTTAGGGGTGTTCATAATTCGGTTTGGGTCGGTTTTTTCCTAAAAAGAAACCAAACCAAGTAAGTCGATTTTTCAAATATTGGAACCAAACCAAACCAATTGAGTCGATTTTTTATCAATTCGGTCTATGTCAGTTTTTCGATTTTTTTGGTTATTTATCGATTTTTTCTTAAATATAAGACATACACTACTAAACGCATATTCCGGCGACTATATTTTCAATGTAACACTATCAAATCAATTGCTCTTTGATAAATCTATCATTTTCAAGATATATTGATGATAATTGAATCAAATGGTGATGACGAATTTAAGTACTCTATTAAAAATCGATTATTTTTAACATGAAATAAATTCTTGTACTTAGTAAAAGAAAACTACCAA